CGGTTCACCCAGATCCCCCGGTTCCAAGGATATACTTTTTATGGGGTTATTGCATGTTTTGGGGTCCCTGTGTGTTTTATGAAACTGTAATGTTTCTGGCCAGCAGATAATTCAGCTTTGTGTATTGTAGAAACTCAATTATCTAGCCTGGCCCAGAGGAGGAGTTTTGTGTTGCATAAATTGTGAGTTCTGTGTGCCAGTAAATCAGTCTTGTTCCAGCATTAAGCCTTGGCTCATGTTTGGGGGAAGGGATACCTACACTCTGGGGATTGCTATAATCACTTACTCCCCAGAGGAAGCTCTTGCAATAGCTTGATTTGTTCCTGTTCCTGCTCTCTGGGGAAAGAGAGGTTCACCCACTGGAAGCTGGATCCTGGCTTTGGGTCCAGGGTGGGTGGAAACAGCAGAGACCCCGGCGCAGTTGCATCGCTGGAAGTGGGGTCTGCAGTGCTGATGGTGTCGGTTGGAGTGCTTGGAGTCCTCGGCAAGCGCTAGGAGCATCGATTGGCGGAGGTACTCAGTCGGAGTGCCAGCGTTCCGTCACAAGCTTCAAGACTTTTTTCCATGGAGGACTTTTTGTCCAGAGCTGGGGCTCTAGTTGATACTGCAGAAACACTGACTATTACGGACGTTCAAGCACAAGCAGTATTATGGCCTCGTACGGCTAATGAACTGGCTCACACAAATACCATCAAGGATCTGTATAATGATCTGATGAAATTGAAGAGACGTGAGGTGGATCTTGACCTGCATGGTATTTTTATTTCGGATTATTACCGTGCTAAAATAATTCCACGAGGGTTTAGAGTCAGAAATGCTCCAACTATAGGGAGACAGAACCCTGAGTTCTAGTTCTGTAAAAAATGGATGAATATTGCAAACAAGTGTTCACTAGATTGGATGGTTATAGTGGTTGAAGAGGTTGGAAAGGAGTTAATTGCAGTCAAACAGACTATACAGGAATTTGAAATTACGAATACATTAGCCCTTCAGTCAGCAATGGCAACTGCACAAATGTTAAAGCTGCAGGAGGATATTAACAAATACAAAAATGAACTTATTCGGTTCAAGAAGCAGAAATTGGTTAAAGTTAATCATGATTACCAATACCATCAGGTGTATAGATGGTTGAGTGGTACACAATCCTCATATAGAGATCCAGCCTCAAGATACAAACCTTGTATTAGAAAACCTATGTTTCAAACGGTTGACGTTAGCTCTGGTGAATCAGCATCAGATGCAGAATCAAGAGACAGCAGACCACGTACCAGCCAAACACCATAATAAAATAAAACACCAGAATAAAAGAAATCGGAATCTTAGGGACATTTTGATTCGCAGTGACCCTGTCCAGTGTTATAAGAAGAATAAAATATACAACAAGCCAGGATGTTTTAGATGTAGCAGCTGTGTAACCTGCAGCCATATGGTTCCAGCGAATTCTTTTGCCCATCCACATAGTGGGAAAAGAATTAGTATATCCCACTATATTACATGTACTACGGATCATGTAATATATCTTATAACATGTCCGTGTGGTCTGTCGTATGTGGGGAAGACAGACCTAACCCTAAGGGACCACATCCGTGGACATAGATCTGGTATTATGACAGCATACAAGGATCAAAGAACGGCTAAGCCAGTAGCTAAGCATTTTTTGGCAGCTTCACATAGACTTCCAACACTTAAATTTGTGGCCATTGACCATGTCCCCCCGTTACCTTGCGGGGGTAACAGGTCTAAACACCTGCTTCAAAGAGAAGCGTATTGGATCTTTAAGTTGAACACAGTCACACCAAAAGGATTGAACGAATATAATACGTATTCAATGTTTTTGTGAAGTGCATCTGCATATAGGCTTGGATAACTGTGGGGGGATTTATAGTAGAATAATTTGTTAATATGTATATGCATGGAGAGATTAAGACATATTATATTCTGTATATGAATCTGATAGATACTGCTAGGAAAAAGATGCATTGTATTAGCAAGTAGAACATTGTAATATTGTAATATAATTACACATATATATAAAATAGCTTCCTGGATAAACTACATTAGGCAATATAGGGAATATACCTTTAAGTCAGACACGGTCATGTGGGAAGTAATTAGATATATGTTGCAACTAGACATATTATTAATATCATTTATGATTGTGGTGAGCATAGACCATTAGCAGGTACTTTATTATTTGGTAAACCAGCTTTGATAAATTAGTTCTGATAAATCAGCTCTGGTTCTTGTAGCGGAACGCCAATAATAAATCCACGAATTCCGCTGGTTCAGAAACGAATCCACAGTCAAGCGCTGAAACAACAAGGCAATATCCCCAACCTCCCAATAACCGGACGAGACACAGTTTTGGGAGTCAACTGAAATCCTTTTAATCGGCAAGACAATTTATACAAGTCCCCATGCAAGGGGTTTCCTGAGTCCCTCCCCAGGGGCACTCCCAGAGGGGACTACATGGGGGACTTACATGACAACATATTTCTCCCATCAGGCACCGCTGTACGAGAGGGATCATCCTCCCAGAATGCACCGTTAAGGGGATTATCCCCTCGTGCAGCAGAACCGGCAATTCACATAAAAATCCATAACTTGTTAAATACACGGTGGATTTACACGAATGGACGTTCGGTAGATAGCTGCTGGGTCTGAGCGCATCATTCGTGAGATTACCGCTCAGATCCCAGCTAAAATAACCGAACGCCGCACAGAAAACACATTTCTTTTAAACCATACGAAAAGGACCGATTACTTCTAGTGAACACGATCCTGAAACTCCCGAACGTCCTGGAGGCTCAGCGGTGTTCGTGCCGTCGAATAGCTATTGGTAATACTATGCGTTCGACAACTCGGTCCCGCTGAGGAACAAAGGATCCAAGATGGCCGACCGCCGCATGGTCGGTAGTCGAACGACGGCCACCCAGGAGAGCCTCTAATAACCGATTGCAACAATGTTGCAATCGGTTAACTAGCGCCACACGCTTCTAAGTGTGTGGGCTATTAGGGGGTATCGCGTTCCGTTCACGAACGGCTTTCTAAAGTGCCGTTCGTGAAACGAAAGAAAAATCCCCATACAAAACCGCCATTTGCATTCGGCGGAAACAGCAGTACAGGCAATACAGAAAATACATTAGCATATACATAAGTGTAAAGCGCATATCTCGCCAGACCTATTGGCAACCCTTAAAGGCACAGTCTCTAGTTATAGTCCAAGTGGCTAGGTTTGCCACAGTTCTTATCTTATATGATAGATTTTGGAGATGTGGGGTATAGGATGCTTTATCCTATGTTATTCTGTCCGTTATTCCCACATTATTAATTGACATACTAAGTGTAGAGATCCTCCTTTGGATTGAGATATTGTGTTATTTTTAGCCATTTGTATTTATTTTTTTGTAATATTTATTATTTCTTCACACTGTAGAATGTATACACTTTCGCACACATTAGATTACACATAGAGGCAGCTTTATTCGTTGCCTGGTAACAAGATCATGTGACCGCATAAATGCATTTCCAGGTTTCGGATGCTCGGCGGTCTCTCGTACTCACGTAGCCCACAGTTGGGAACACAGAGAGCGTATTGGTTAAGCAATAGTATGGGGAATGTAGGGGGTCACATGATCACCTGGGGATACTTCCGGTTTTCGGATAGTTGGCGGTTTTCTTTTCCCACAAACACCTGTTGGTAAGTTATCAATGTAAATTTTTTTGTGTATATATACTTACCTGTTTCACTGTTTATTTGATCTTGAAGAAGACCCTGTGAGGGTCGAAACGTCGTTTGCACATGTAATTTGCACTTTAGAATAAATCAGTATTCAGATGAAGACCTGTGAGTGCTCCTTATATTTTGAATTTTGTTATATGTTTAAACGCTGAGGATTGCACCCAGGCAGCAATATACAAACTTTTTTGTAAAATTAAGGGTGAGTGCCAAGAATCCTTTTCTTATATATATATATACACAATGTATTGACCCTGTCTGTTTGTGTTGCGATATAGGACATCAAGGGTTGTCAGGTGGAAATAAATATGTTGTTAATTAGTATAATGTTATGTTAAAACATGTTACATAACTAACAAGTAAATCTATATAGTAAATAAAAGTAGTGGTAGAACAAGTGGTATTAAGATCATAATCGGATGGCTTCTTAAAATGCGAGATTTTACACACTATAGTTAAGTTATGTATTGTGGGGTGTTTAGTTAGAACAAGATTTACTAAATATTGTCAAGATTGGGTATAGGTAGATACACTTAACCTATATAATCCATTTCCCCTCTTCCCCAATGCTCCTTCCATTGCTCCTCTAAGGGCAACTTCATAGTAAGGGTGAAGCTGCAAGTGGGTGATCTCCAACATCTTCCATTTGGGCCATTAACTGTGAAAACTTGTGCATGCCCACTCAGAATCCCATGCGGTAGTAACATCACTGCAAATTAAGGATTATTCTAGCTCAGTGATCGAATAATCTAAATTTTATTAAAGACAGGAGGTGAATATTTTGCATATCCTTCTTTACTGAATTCTACCAGCAGCAATGAAACAATGTGGATTAAAAAAAAAAATCAACCAATCAGAATGTATATCAATAACATATAGTGCAATCAGACTCCTCCCACTTCCTCTTTCTTTGAGTTAGCCGATCAGCAGTAGTCAACCATGTAAACGAACACACCCAGAAGGCTAGTAGAACAGTAGAAACAAAGGCGATTGAAGTCGCATAGTCAGCCATGTAAACCAGTGGTCAAGAAACGTGTAGAGAATCCCCACGTGGAGAAAAAAAAAAGTCTTCACGCTAGAAACAAACAGAAACATCATGAAAGAAAATTGGAATAAAGGAACCAACATTAGAAAAACATTGTAGGGAGGGAAAAAACAGGGTGGGAAAATATTTGCCTCCTGGAGGCTTTATATTTTGCTGTTTTAAAGCTTAAAAACAATAGATAAAGAGGCAAATGAAGTAGGTTTGAAATAGAATGTTTGAAAAGTAGATTCTCTGGATCAATCTGCCCGAAAGTCCAATAAAGTGGCCGCACCTCTGGCTGAATGAGCACTAAAAGAGGGGTCAATACTGGCAAGCTTGAGAAGACATCTTATCCAATGGGCAATGCTAGGACAGAAGACTGGACTGTGAGGTCAGACATAAGAGACAAAAAGGGGGCCCGAAGCGGCGTTGTAAGATCGATGTATTGATGAACACAATATGCCACACAGAGAGCAGGTCTGTCCGGGAAATATGCCTAAAAAACCTGCAAATAAATGTGATCTTAGTGTGTCTCGTTATAGTAACAAATACTCCATCCGGTGCATAAAACACAGTGTGAAAAACGAAGACACGAGTATCTGAGACTCTGCAGAAAGACACTAGACAAAGAAGAAAAGCCAGCTTAGCATAGAGCTGGTGAATAGACAAGGTATCATGAGAAGGCCAAGATTCCAAAAATGACAAAATCTGAGCAACATCCCAGAAATTGGCGTATCTTGGAATAGAAGGTGTGGCCAGTCGTATGCCACATAAAAGTCTGCAAACAGAAGGTTGTTTTCCCACCGGAGAATTATCAATCGGGGTATGATACGCCGAAAAGGCGGATCGAAAGACCTTAAAGGAGCGATATGATTGTCCTTGGTTAAGTCTGCCATGTGGAGGCATATGCGCGTTAAGTTTCTGAGGCCCATAAGTCCCATAGGAGTGTTCAAGCTGTGCTTGAAAGTCCTGTGACATGCCAAGATCCAGTGAAATGGACCAGCCCACAAGATAGAGGTGGCCTTGTAAAGTGAGATGGAAGTCGCCTGCCGAGTTCCTGAGTACATCTATTGTCTGATGGAAAAGTAGAGGGTAGTCTACCAACAATTAAAGAAGAGTAGGGACCCGTGTCTGGGCTCTCCGTAAAGGAGTTATCGTGACTCTTTGAATTCTGATTTAATGAAGAGTTCACTGGCGTCCAGGTACAGTTTTCCTCTTTCTTTTTTTTTTTTTTTTTAATCTTTTACTTCTCAGTCAATTCAGGTATTCATTCAGTTCTAGTTTTTTTTTTGAAATTTATTTCTATAATTTTTTTTATTTTTTGCGCACCACCCGCGCTGCATGCAAGAAGGGACAGCGTACTCACCAGCCCATGCCCGGCGCACCACCCGCGCTGGATGCAAGAAGGGACAGCGTACTCACCAGCCCATGCCCGGCGCACCACCCGCGCTGGATGCAAGAAGGGACAGCGTACTCACCAGCCCATGCCCGGCGCACCACCCGCGCTGGATGCAAAAAGGGACAGCGTACTCACCAGCCCATGCCCGGCGCACCACCCGCGCTGGATACAGGCAGGGTCCAGGCAGAGTCCAGGCAGAGTCCAGGCAGGGTCCAAGCAGCAGACATTGAAATCAGCTATTCAGATATCAGATATTCCAGGCGCCACCTGCCGGGCATTTCTATGAACTGCAGCCGGGACCCGAGAGAAGGGCAGAGAGCAGCAGCCGGCAGCCAGAGAAGGAGAGCCGGCACCGAGAACCCAGGCACAGGTAACAGCAGGGGGGAGCGGGGGGGAAGGGAGGAAATGGGGGGGACATAGAGGAGGGAAACAGAAGGGGGGGGAAGAAAGAAAACAGGGGGACCCCAGGAGAGGAGCCCCCCCCGAAATGCCAACAGGGGGAGAAACCGGAGACCGAGAGGGGGGGGACCCCCGGCCGCCATCCTCACTGGCAGACCCCCCCCCCGGCCCCGCAGGCCGCACTCACCGCCGGGGCCCTGTCTCAGGCCGCGCCCGCCATGCGGTGCTGTCAGAGGGGCTCTGGCCGGCCACACAGGGCGCGGGATCCGGCTGGGGGAGGCCGCAACTCATATCAACAGCCCCCCCTATCCCCCCCTGCCCCAGGCTCACCCTCTACCCCCCTCAACCTGCTCTGCCCCCCCTGCCCCAGGCTCACCCTCTCCCCCCTCAACCTGCTCTGCCCCTGCCCCCCCTGCCCCAGGCTCACCCTCTACCCCCCTGCCCCCCTGCCCCAGGCTGTCTGTGATATATACTGTCTGTGATATAACTGTCTGTGTGATATATACTGTCTGTGATATATACTGTCTGTGTGATATATACTGTCTGTGATATATACTGGCTGTGTGATATATACTGTCTGTGATATATACTGTCTGTGTGATATATACTGTCTGTGATATATACTGTCTGTGTGATATATATACTGTCTGTGTGATATATACTGTCTGTGTGATATATACTGTCTGTGAGATATATACTGTCTGTGAGATATACTGTCTGTGTGATATATACTGTCTGTGTGATATATACTGTCTGTGTGATATATACTGTCTGTGATATATACTGTCTGTGTGATATATGCTGTCTGTGATATATGCTGTCTGTGATATATGCTGTCTGTCTGTGTGATATATACTGTCTGTGAGATATATACTGTCTGTGATATATACTGTCTGTGTGATATATACTGTCTGTGTGATATATATACTGGCTGTGATATATACTGTCTGTGTGATATATACTGTCTGCG